ACCTGATGATGATGTTAATGCTGTAGAAGTCTTCAATGACTTCCATACCAGTACGAAAAAGGGCTTGAGCGATGCTGTAAGAGCAGCAGTTGTAAGTACCATCATTTGCTTTCCTTAAAATCTACTAAACCCATTGCCATAAAAGAAGGAAACGCAGCAGGAGCCTAATGTGGCAACATCATTTAATTTTGTAGTTGCAATTTTACACCATTCAATATGGTACATGTACATTGTGCTTATGTAATCTCTATCGATAGTAGGCTGCAAAATACCTATGCATTGTGCTTATGTAATCTCTATCAGCAGTCGTCTGAGGAAGTCATATGCATTACTTGTTATGAATTAATCTCTTGGGTTTTCAGTTGAAGTACTCTTCCACTATCTGTAACCTAAAGTTTTATTGATTGAATTTTGCAGGAAGCTATGCAAGCAGAACTTGTTGCTGATGGGCAGCGACCAATGACTAGTGATGATGTTGATTCTAAGGTTCTCTGCCTCTACCAGGGCAAGCACCCCTCCCAGGCAAGCAGCAAAAACCTTTTTTTGAAGAATGCGGGTATCTTGAGAAGCTCCATCAGAGCAGAGACATCGACGGAGATGACACTTTGGGAGCAGCTTGCTGGTGAACATGAAAGTACATCTGAGCTCATCGAACTAATGGATGAACTGAAGGTGAGGACAGAAAAGGCTGAAAGAGAGCTTGAGGAATTCAAGCAATAGCAACAGCAGGAGTACAATAGGCTTAGTGAGCTCGTCTTGCGCTTAAGCTCTCCTGGTAATTAACTCTTTGTCTTCAACTCCTACGGCTTGATGCGGTGAATATTTATGGTCTGTTGTGTGGACGCATGTGATGGTTTGATGTTGTGATACTCTGTCAGTGGTTCGCTGCTGACGTGTGAAATGTTAATTGTGGTTATTTGATTGCTAGGCTAAATTGTTATGTAGTCAATCTGTGCAGTAGTGACGATCTCGAATTACTTCTTTGATGAATCGATTGTACTCACAGTAGAACCCGAACAGGCCATGTGATCAAATAAAAATACGACACATGGAGGAACCAGTGCATGACATGTGAAATAGCCAGAGCACAACATGTGGGCCATTAAAAATCCAACACGTGGAAGGATGTCGTCAAGCCACGTGGCCGAGTAAAAATGCAAAACGTGGACAGACAATGTCGTGACGCGTGGTCGAACAAGAAACGGCCACATGGACCAATAAAAATACGCCACATGGTCCAATAAAGAAGTGACACGTGATCCAACCGCAACACGACACATGTGCCCATAGAAAACTGACATGTGGAACAACAGGAACATGATACGTGGTCCAGTAAGAACCTGAAATGTGCAAGAACCAGAGATGGCCACGTTGTAGAATAAGAAGGTGACACGTACCCGAACCATCTCTAATGCAACCGGCTATAGCATGTACACATGGAAAGCATCTCCAACGGAAGCACCCCACCAGCGTGGCAGCCCCCCCTGCCACGCATGCCAAAACGGTTCTATGATGTTCTATTTTCATCACAGATCAAGCCACTTTTTATGACATTTTGCGAAAATCATCATAGAATTTCAAGTGTGACGCGACTTCTATGGCGAATCGGTTTTCGTCGTAAATTCGTCATAAAACTAAAATTATGACGAATTTGGCTCATTCAGTGACGAAAGCTTATCGTCATAGAATGGATATTCCTACTAGTGGCAACATCCATATGAAGCATTTGCAATATACCTCTAAAACATCTAAAATACTTGAAACAACATGCGCTTTCGGCGCAGCGCAACATCTCCTTGCTGCTTGGGAGAATGGAGGCTCGTCGGCGTGTGGAGTTCACCGGAGGCAGTGGCCCTGCGGCGCTTGTAGGCAGCAGCCGGGCGGCACTTGTAGGTGGTGATGGTGATTGCGTGATGCGACAAGGAGGCAGCGCCCGCATGACTAGGAGAGGGAGCCAGATCCGTCGAAGAGCCACTCGTGCTGGGCCTACCGCGCTGGTCCACCCTTGACTGGGGTCGTTGGCTCCGTTGCAACGCCATGTCAAGGGCCACACGGTCCTCCGCGTCGTGGCTCGCTCATGCTAAGGCCATGCTGAGGCCACTATGACGGGATGCTCACTCGCACCGCAGCTAGAGAGAGATGAAAGGAGTAGCGTTGGAGGCATGCGAGAGCGAGAGAAAGCATAGGCCGGGAGGCACGAGAGAGAGGAGCGGTGGCTGATATTTTCCAAGGCACACATGCGGACAAGAGAGGAACGGGTGGTTGATATTTTCCAAGGGGTGCGCAGGTGGACGGTACGTACAGACGCGGGCGGGTCGGAGTCCGTCCATCCATTCGGACGGACGTCCTCAGCCTATCATTATTGTTTGACAAAGTGCTAGTGGAGTACTTATAATTATAGGTTTACTTCATATATGTGAGTGGCTTCAGATATTAGTTAATCAAGATGAATGCCCCATTACCCCAATAGCTCTCTGTACTCCGCTGGCACAGCAGCGAGGATAGCCTCCAACGCTGACATGTCGTTTTCTTCATTGTTGGTGCCCTTGTCAATGGCATTCCAGAGCCGTCGAGCTCTGAGCTTGACCTTCATGGTCACCGCCCACTCGCCATAGTTGGTGCGAGTCAGCATCGGACAACTGGTGCCGCTGACCTCGCGCACCGTGCTGGTGCCGATGACCTCCTGTCGTGGCTAGGCAGCCATAGCAGCACCGTTGCTGTCGCCCATCTCTGAACCGTCCGTCATCGCCAGCGGTTAGTCCGACGACGGCGCTTGTACGGCTCTGACACCACTTGTTGGTCGCTCGGATGTCCTGCACAGGTAAGCAGTAAGCTTACCAGCACACTCACTTACTATAGCTAGAGGTAGAAGAAGATATTGAGAACAGCTCACACACACAGCACAAGCCCAGCGCTGGCTGAAAGCTCTGCTTCTGGATGTGGCAAACTGAATTAATTTGATGCATTGCCTTGGCATAGTATATATACAGATGACAGTACCTCTACCAGGTATATAGTTATTGGTGAGTATACCAACTAACTACTCCTAAGGTACAAGGTTGGTGAGTACACCAACTATCTACTCCTAAGGTACAAGATTGGTCAGTATACCAACTACCTACTCCTAAGGTACAAGGCTTAGCTCAACCATCTCTACACTACATGGCTGAAATAAGCCATTCCTACTATGACCTACTGCCTTACTACTATAGCAGCAGGCAGTGGTCAGCCGAGCCGACTAGTCCAATCTCCTGATCTTCAGCCAAGAGAAATGTGGAGCAGCATAAGTCTGTTCGGGAGGCCGTAAACGATCGTGGATTATTTACTGCTGGCTGGTTTGGTGTGAAAGGAAAACACTGTTCTGGCTGGAAATTTACGATCGTTTACGACCAAGCGAACAGGCTAAGTCGTAAACGATCGTAAATTTCCAACCAGAATAGTGTTTTCCTCTCACACCAAACCAGCCAGCAGTAGAGCTTGCTGACCAACTTAAGAATTTTTTTTACAAAGCAATAGAAGGACTACTCCATGATCGAAGAAAATTCCAATTAAAATGGTGTAATATGCTGGTAATTTTTTTAAAAACTTTTATCGCATTGAGCCAGCAAAGAGCTTGCTGACCAACTTAAGAAAAAAAAAATACTAAGTAATAGAAGGACTACTCCGTGATGGAATAAAATTCCAATTAAAATAATCAAAGGAAGGTTCAGTTGAATGGCAAATTTATCTCCATAATACAAAAGGGGTAATATTCAATAAAAATTGCAATTCACATAATGACAAAGGAGCTTTTCACAGAAAGAATTTCAAGCTTTATACTCCTTTTCCTGCTATCTTCATAGGATAGATATGATAAGTTCGGCGGCAAGAAGAAGCCGCCACTGCTGCTGCCTTCTGCTGCGCGGACAGTGCTTTGCTGTATTTCAGTGAGCAAACCGATCACAAAAAACAGCTTCAAGTAGAACCTTTTTGGTAACTTCCAAGCTTCTATAGGATCTGAGGTTTCTTTCAGCAACTCCAAATTTTAGTTAGGTTTCTTTTGATATATCTGATTATTTTTATGGGGTGACAATCTTTATTTTGATCCATATTTTAGAAAGATATTTGAAGTGTGATATGAGGATGTGAGAAGTAGTAGGAGGGGAATAGGAAGATGCTGCCAGTACACAAGACAGACCCTCTGTACTGTCAAGTGTCAACATACTCCAAGCACAAGCTCTACAAGTTGTTTGATGTGGGACATGGAGATATTAGCTCATAATTGACAAATGTTTATGTACTTCATGTCTTAGGAGTTTGTAATGTAGTCAATTGTATAGCAGGTTGGTAGTTGATTCTGAATCAGGGTATTGTTCTATTGATTTACAATATTCTCGGTTGTATAGATGAACGTGGGCTAATTTAGCACTGGTAACTGAGTGATGGAATTTTTCCACTTCAAAAAAGTCATAATTTTAATGGCAGCTGTAATTCATCCTCTATGAATGAGTTTTCTTTTGATATCCATGTGCGTGTCGCACGTGCATGTTCACTAGTAATATTAAAAGGCCTACAAAAAAACGTGTGTGAATCCAAATCACAGAAAACAGTAATGGACATCCAAAGGGGAAAAAATGGTAAGTGCAATATTCCCTAACAAAAAATATAAATAAAATAAAAGGGTGGTGCCATTTAGCTTTGGCTCAACCTGTCGCCATTCAATGTGCAGCTTGTAGGTGGTGGTGTTGGTGCATATATTCATTTTAATAAAAGATAAAATGACTGTCCACTCCTTGATGTCCTTGACAATACAAGAACCAAGATGCACAGTTTCGTTGAGGTCGTACAATTCTGCTGCTTTGAAAATGGAGGGAAAAGAGAGGTAGCACTCTCGTCCCCAGCCTCCCAAAATCCATCTGTCACCATAACAAATTGTTCAACAAAAGCATGCATGATGCCATTGCTATGGATTCTACAGCCTGCTCGCATGTTTAGCCAGTTCTACATTTTCAGCCGCCAGTTCACTTTGTTCTCCTCAAGAACTTTTGAGTAAGATCTTTGAGCGCTTGCCTCGAGCTAAGCACAACTGGATCTTCGCTCGGAGGAAGATCATCAATGGCTACCGCAGCCAGTTTTGCGTGTTCAGCAGCCAGTAACCTCGTCCTCTCGATTCCTTGACTTTTCTGAAGGTATTTGAGGACCTATAAGTGTATAAAATGAGCACGTCTGAGACCACACTAGCCAAGATATGAACATTTCAAAACCCAAATTGTTGGCGCATTTTTACCAGAAAGAAGGAAAAAGGTACACTTTCAATACAAACCACATCAACATTTGATGAAGGGTCATCAAATCCCTGTTCGACAATCTCGCGGAGTTGGGGGAACTCTTCCATCGCAAACAGTATGGGAGCCGTCACAATTCCCTGTCCATACATAATTACTTGCATGTTAATATATAAAAAGGTAAAATAGTATCTAGAGATACTGGAGCAATTAATTGTATTACTTGATTGATATCAGAAAAGGAAGCTTTGCCTAGTGAAGCTGATGTGCCTGTGAAATCGAGGATATCATCAATCAACTGATATGCTATACCCTGGCAGAGATTTATAGAGCGTGGGTCATCCTAGCGGTTCATGGTACGCAAGAAAGGCAACAGATTCTAAAGGACGTACCCAGTGCAGAGAGCTCCCGCTCTGTGCGGGGTCTGGGGAAGGGTGTCAGTGGCAAGCCTTACCCTCGCCTGTGCAATACGAGGAGACCGCGACTCAAACCCGGGACCTTCCGGTCACAGGCGGTAAGACTCTACCGCTTGCACCAGGCCCGCCCTTAAAGGCAACAGATTCTAGGTAAGGAAAAATACAACATACCAAGTGTCTGCCATACTGATAAGCAAGAGCTTGTACTTCTGTTGTTTGCCCAGAAAGAACTGCAACAGCTTTGCAGCTGTTTGAAATCAACGCAGCTGTCTTGTAGTATGTTTTCTGCAAATAATAATCCATGCTGTACAAGCATTCATGAACAGGTGTCAAATTAAGTAATAAAAGATTAGAAGTGTTGGGTTGTCATATAGTTGATTATTATAGTTTGGTGAATCCATCGACCATTCTTACTTTCCCTTTTCCAATTCCTTCAATCTAGAACTAGGTTAAATTTTAGTTGATGCTCGGGCCTCAAGCACTACTGATCTATTATGGCGATGGGTACAATTATTAGTGAAGATCCTTTGTCTTAATGAAAAAGTAACACCAGTACATATCCAATACAGACAGGTAAACAGCTACTTACACACAGATCAGAAACAAAAAAAGATGAAGAGCTTATAATTGATTGTCCGTAGCAACACATTCTAGTATTCTACAGAACTAATATGATACGGTGACACCATCACACCCGCACCCCACATTACACCTCAACCTTATCAAAGTTGATGAGAACTGTGTTTCATTAGTAAAAACTGCACTCGAGAATAGCTTGATACTAGGAAGTGAGAAATGAATTGGATATCTACCTGCAGCGTTGCGCTGGGGTTATTGTCAATTGCATAAGCTCACCAGTTACAAGATTATTTACAGCAGTTGCTAGTAATGATACAACCTGCAGTGGGCAAAAGTAGGTGTCTAGATGTTATGAACCTGTGAAGATACAGAGTGGAAAGTAACTGACAAAATCTGACGTTGTAGAGATGGATAAAGATGCAAAGTGTCATGGCACATCACATGCTAATAAAAACTGGTTATGTTTTCTCTGTGCGGCAATTCATGAGAATCCCCACTCATTTATTAGCAACATTGTCAATAAATTTGAACTAGAATAGTTTTTTGGTATAAAAATAAAGAATAAACATCACACCTCAGTATTGTCAAGAGCCACAGCAGCAGAAAATGCCCTGAAAAGTAGAAAAATCACCAGCCAAAACTGCAAGCTGCAAAAAAGTATCAGCTTTACTATTTTTTAGTGGTATGGCAGATATGACAAAAATATAGAGTTGATTTACATTTGCAAAGTTTACAGCATGGCTTGGAGACAATCTTTACTTATGAGATGAGGATGTGCTGAAAAACAAATCTCTTAATATGATTCATGCACCAAACCAGGGCATTTCATTGGGCCACGTCGCCTACTTCTCACTCAACCGTCAGATCTCAAATGAACATCACCAAACGCTTCATCATGGCTTGTACAGGAGTCCGGTACATTCGTGAAGTCTCTAGAAAATCCTGGCCGTAAGAGAAAGCTTTAAATGGACGGGCGCAGGCCACCGGCGCGTCTGTGGTCGCTCGGGCACGAGCCGCCTCCGCTCGAACCAAAGCGCAGCGCGGGTGCGCGCGTGTCCGGGACAGGCTTTAACGCCGCCGCGTCGCCGTCGGCCGCTCTTCCCTTGGCCGGAATTGGCAGTGCCGAGCGTGTGCTCTGCTCTGCTCTCATTCCTTTCATGGGAACTAAGGAGGAGGAAACCTCGTAGGAGCGCGGGGCTGCGGCACGACGAAGCACGGGCCACGCATGGCTGGTGGCGCAGGTCCACGAGGCTTCGAACAGGCAGGGTAGCCACGAGGACGGGCGGCGGCGCGTGGAGCTGCGGCACGGCGGCGCAACCCTCCGTCGTGTGCCCGCAGACCACCTGGCCCTTCAATCATGGCCAACGGAGACTGATTGGGTTGTACACAAAATCTGGCCGCCGCCACAATGTGCTTCGCCACCGGTGGCTCCGACGTCCTCCGGATCCCGGACCCGGCCAGGCACATGTGAGCTCCTGTGTCGCCTATCCACCACCCCACGCACGTGCGCTCAGCACGCCGCCTGGCGCCAGGCCGAGCACGGCTGAACCACGGCCGCCGCGTGCTCTACTCTGTTGCTAGCTTGATGATGATGTCAACATGACATCATGACTTGTCATATACTCCCTTTTCCCTTTGGAATTGGAAATAAAACCCTGAGTCACGGCGTCACCCATGTGAACTTGCTCGAAGCCACCGCCTCCCCCCACAGGCCACAGCACAGACATCCAGCCAGGCAATGACCCACAGACCATGCAGTGATGGTGTCTTTACGAGATGGTCACCATTGCTAATCTGCTGCTACCTTGATTGACCATAGGAGATGGAAATGGAGATGAGTAGATGACCTGCTGCTGCTGTAGAGCTGCTGAGCCTGAGCGTTGGTGAGGGAAGAAGGTAGAGAAAGATGACGAAAGGAGTTTCCTGCTGCTACTATCCTTGCGCTGGATAGAAGAGGACCACCTGTTGCTGATGCTTGCTGGATGGATAAGAGACAGAGGAAGTACTGCTCGGCACAGCAGTTCTCTCAACGCAACATGATGCTGGGGATTATTTGATCCAATAATTTTGATTACTGAGAATTTTACTTATAAAGTATGGAATAAACATGTATCATCTGCAACAAATAAATACATATCCTACTACACTCGGTAAAACGATACCTACAGAAAAAAAAAAAAAGAAGGTCCATCAACGCTGCAAGCAGCCTGCCCACACTGGCTATTCGCGGCAAGGCCGCGAGCATTTCTAGTATAACCATTATTTACTTTAACAGGCATGAAACTGAATACTGGGATTCGCATTAAATAAGAGATTGTTGACATTTTGTTTTTTGAATAACTATAAAAAGATAAAATAAAGTACCTTAGATGGGGCTACTGAAAAGCAACTGATTGATTTGTACATGTTAAATAAAACATCTACCTTCAAAATGGTAATCCTTCATATTTTCACTTTTTACAGAACAATTATCAAACTACTCTGTATTTGCCTGTTTTAAATAGACAAGTTAGCTATACAGAAATTATCATACTACCTTCTTTCCCACTGTGAAGTTCAATGAGTCCATGCCACGCCTAGTATCAGCATTATCCAAAACATCGTCATGGATAAGGCTTGATATCTAAGATGCAAGACAGAAGACGAATCATTGTAATAAATAATTCTGAATAGAGTGTCAAATGGAAGGAGGTTCAGATGCGTACATGAATCATTTCAGTTATCTCAGCAACACGCACATGCCTTGCACGAGGCTTATTCTCTAAGCCAACAATTGGGTCACTCATGTCTGTGCTTATAGCTGAAGCCATCAATAGCAGAACCTGAAACATCAATGATCAAGAACTTACTGCCCGCAAAAAAAAAATGATCAAGAACTTACAATGACAAAAAGAAATAAGTAATTATATAATTCGCTTGAACTAGAAAATAGTATGCCATGTCATAGTATAATGGCAAAATATTCAATAATAACACTCCAAAGTCTGGTCTTACAGTAGGGCACGTTCGTTTCCCTTCAGCTCCAACTCTAAAGAAGTATCCAGCTGCTGATGTCAATTCGGGTATCTGTAGTCACAGTGGATCTATTAAGTTCCATGAGTATAGTAGTTCACACAAAAGCTTTAAAATTTGAGAAAAGGATAGCATTGTACTTATACAGTATTTCAAGATTATAGTATCATAGGTTTTAGGAGAAGACTACAATTGGATTATGCACCTCAGCAACCACCATTGAGCGTAATCGATCTGTGACTTCAGACACTTCATCTTTAATCAGCGCAAAGGGGTCTGGCAGCTCCTACTACACAGAAAAAAAAAATGATACATTAATAAATCAGAATTATGATGAATATTAACTAATTGCCTTTTGTGGTTTCCAAACTTTACATGATTGAAACAAGCGCGAAATCAATATGTAGGCATAAGCATAATACATATCAAGTTGTTTCTTAATAATTAATACGAGCTCAATACGAACAATATCTATAATTCAAGCTCAAGAAGAATAAAAACAGTCAACATGGCACTGTGACACAGTGAGAGAAGAGTCCATCTCTACCTTTGCTTTTGAGCCTCCTTCACTGAAAGTATTGTCACTTGCGCTGTGAAAATAACGTGAACTCCAAATAACTCTGTCCCAATAGCACATATTCTGTGAAGCAAGAAGCCAAGAAGATAATGTCGAAGCATCATATATAGTGAATCTGTGATGAGGGAAACTCATATTTGCATGCATACATGTGGTTTAATTTGACTGAGCAGTTCAAGGGCATTGTTTCTACAGTATGGCTGTGCAGTGTGTGGAATGGATTTCTCTTTGTAATCTATATCAAAGAAATGAAAAATATTTGAAAGGCCTATGTCTGCCGATATTATTTCAAACAGCTTACCCCTGGCAGCTAAACTGCTTAATTATCACTGGGGGAGTCTGATGCATTGCTTTGGTGCAGAAGCAGAAGGAATGTAGGCTGCACAAAGGATACTGAAAAGTGCTAACTTGGAAGAATAATCCAACAGCTAAACCGCTTACCCTGACAAATCAGTGATAGCATCAAATTAACTAAACGATAATTCATATCTAAAATGCTTCTTCCAAGAAATGCAATCATCAACTACTTTACAAGTATGGCTCGGTGAAGTAACAGCGTTTTTCCAAAAGCAGCTTCTGTTAGTGAAGCCGATAAAATCACCAATGTACAGTGCCAGTTCTAAACTATGGAACAGCACTTGTCAGGCCCCCATTCGGCAGTTGGCACAAGTATCACTGCAATGACTCTACATCCCTTTGCAATTGAGTAGTCAGCTCAGGGTCTGCTCTACTGGATTAAAACTTTAAGCTGTGGTGTACATTTCAGGACCTGATACAACTCTGCACGGTGGAGATGCAAAATGGCATCGCGGTTAGCCGGTTATGTAGACTTGGTTGTAGATAAAGATTAGGCATTTCAGTAAACATATCCCTCGAAACCGCAGATCCAGATTTGCTCACCCTTTCTGTTATTGGACAGCAGCGTATCGACGTGACACAGAAAAACCTTTGCCAGATAGCAGAGACTGAAAAAAGGAAGAGTATGCACAAATGGTGGTTTCAGATGCGGCGACTAGAAAGGTCCCAAACTCTCACCTTTGGCGACTGAGCAACGGAAGAAGCGGCAGAGGCTGAGCGCCGGAGCCCAGCGAGGAGGATGCGCCCTGGGAGCATCACGGCCAGCCGCAATCGCCGCTCACCGGGGTGGCCGCCTGAACACCGTTGCCACCGAGATGTGTTGCGCAGCCGCAGCGCCCCAGCGTCAACCGCACTCTTTTTCTACTCTGGTCTCTGGTGGTCTCTCATGAGTCATGACGCCGTTAATTTTAACAAGAACTGATTAGGATTTAGGATTTTATATATTTTTCTTTTATTTATATAAACAAGTGTGGAGTAGGAGTATTAAAGTACGGACAATAGTACAGCCTGACTTTATAGAAAAACACTAGTTTTTTGACTTATTCGATCTCTAGATTACTCAAGATTTTTTAGAAAAATATATAACCTAAGGGCAGCTCTAGTGTACCTGAGAGTCGAACCATCATGGCGTGCGCCGCGCTGAGGTTGCCCAGGGTGAGGAGCTCGCAGACGGCGCTCAGCGCCTCCCCGTTGCGGAGCGCGCAGGTGTACAAGGCGGTGGTGCTGCTGCTGGCGTCCGCTCTGGCCGGGTCGAGCTTGTCCTCCCCGTTGCGGAGCGCGCAGGTGTACAAGGTGGAGGAGCTCCGGTTGGCGCGCAGCGGCGGCGGCGCCGGGTCGAGCTCGTCCTCCCGGAGCCACGCGGCGAGCACGGCGCGCCGGTGCGGCCGAGCTCGCTCGACTCGGCCCCGCTCGCCTCTGCTCACCGGCGACGGAGGACGCCGAGGAGGCTCTCCGCTGCCGACTCCATTTCTGCGAGATCCTCGCCGCGCAAGAAGCGCAGCACCGCGTCTGCCTGCACGCGCGGGTCGCCGGCCGCGGTCTCCTTCCGAGTCTCGAATCCCGAGCGCCTGCCGCCAAACTTCTGACGAGTGTCAGTGACCTCGGGGCGAGGAGAGCAAAGGCGCGAGAGAGCGGCGAGGTGGTCCAAGTCCGGCTGCTTCAGTCGTGTCGCCGTCTTGAAGCAAGGAGCGGACGGACGGGTAGACGGTGAGGAGAAGCTGTACGGGGGCTTAGCCAAGGGCTTGTTCAGATGCAAAAAAAATTTTTTGCAAAATGAGTACCGTAGTGTTTTCGTTGTTATTTGGTAAATAGTGTCTAATCATAGTCTAATTAGGCTTAAAAGATTCGTCTCGTGGATTTCATCTAAACTGTATAATTAGTTTTATTTTTTATTTATATTTAATGCTTCATGCATGTGTCAAAGATTCGATGTGACGGAAAATATGAAAAATTTTGTAAATTTTTTTGCAAACTAAACTGGACCCAAGCCTGGCTCCCAAGAACGGCCACTCTCTGCGTTTTTCTGGAGCCAGGCCAGTGGGTGGTTTGTGACTTGCTGAAGTCTGGCTCCGGTCTCTAAACAAGCAACAAAACAACCTTAATATGGCTTTTCGAGCTCACCCAACCAAACAGACCCACACTAAAGTTGGAACATTATAATGCATTACTGTTTGTGCAAAGCAAAATTAATTTTCAAACTGCATGTGTCCTAAGAGGTATAAAATCGTATTGTAAGAGGATTTTGTCATAAAATGTTTGTTTGAAATGATAGCGGGGAAAAGGATTGTTTGAAATGGTAATGGTGAAGGTGAAAAACAAAAATTCTTTAACACTAGAATAAAACTAATCTATCATGACTTAAAATTCAAACATCCATACAAACCGCTATGCTAAAAATGCTACCTCAATCAAATGCCAATATGCTATGGAAGACCAATACGCATCCAACTAGGATTCAACGGTTCTGTGACGGTCTTTGGCCGTCATTTCTACGTTAACACCTTACTTAAGTCTCATTATACAAAATAAGTATTATTAGATTCGTTATAAAATATATTTTATAAAAAAATATTTTGAACATAAATACTAATATTATTTACTATAAAATTGGAGGGGGGGAGTGATAAGAACCAATGCATCAGCCTCGATGGCAAATTTGCTAGCGTTCTTGCAATTATTATTAACTGAAACACCGAACCAGGGTTTGGACCAGCACAGGGGCTTGTTTTCACGTTAATTTAGTTCTGATCGGACCCGGATCTTGCCGTTAACAAACTAGTAGGACGTGTTTGTTACAGATCGGATTACAACGTCGTCTATCTCTAATCCGTTCAAGTTATCAAAATGCTACTATAAGTAGTCTTTGATTTGGCCAGATTGTTTTGTTAGTTTGTTACACCAATGTCGTGTTGGCCTCTGGTCGCCAACACCATGGCCACCGCCGCCATGTTCTCCCAGCTGTCCGACAGGTTCGCCAAGTTCGTCTGCGGAGTTTCGTCGTCTCCGACGACGACGCCAGACAATGACGACGACCGCCGCAGCCACAGGGCTGAGCTGCGTTCTTTTCTCCTGCTCTCCCCATCGTCCCCCGAAAGACGGCCTCGGCGGTCGTCCTCCTCATCGCCGTCCGTCTCCGTCCGGACGGAGGCGCCGGTGGACGATGACGTCGCCACTAATGCCATTACGATTCTGAAGGAATCTTTACATGAGACTGAAGAAAATGTCTCATTGTAATCAATCACTTCTCTTTGCGTAAAGCCTTTTGCCACAAGTCGTGCTTTATATCTCTCTATATTCCCTTGAAAGTCAAGTTTTGTTTTGTAGACCCATTTACAGCCTACTGTTTTGGCTCCTTTAGAAATTATTTCCAAGTCATAAACTTTATTGGCATTCATAGATTTTATTTCATCTTCCATGGCCTCAAGCCACTTTGATGAATGATCACTTCTCATGGCTTCTTCAAATGAGGTGGGATCATCCTCCATTTGAAATTCCTCAGTGTTGTATACTTCATAGTCAGCAGAAATAGCTAATTTTCTAACTCTTTGAGACCTTCTAGGAATTTGAAATTCCTCGGTGTTGTATACTTCATAGTCAGCAGAAATAGCTAATTTTCTAACTCTTTGAGACCTTCTAGGGGCCTCCACATTTGGCACATTTCTGTTTGAGGCTATTGTTGCTTCCCCTTATGTGTGGCAATAGGTTCTATAGTATCCTGGAGAACAGGTTCCTCATCATCATTCATTGTTGCCACAGACGGAATAACAACAGGTGCTGGCACCATAGTATCTTGCACTGTCGGTGCAGCGACAGCAGGTAGTGAGAAAAATGGCTCAAATCATCGGAGTGGGCGCATACACCCGCTTCTCTTCAGGGTCAATTTCTCGAGTTACCATGCTCTCCCTCATCATTTCATCCTCTAGGAAGACAGCGTGTCTTGTTTCCACAAACTTTGTATGTCTGTCTGGACAGTAGAAACAAAAACCTTTTGACTTTTCTGGGTAGCCAATGAAATGGTGTCGGATACCATAAAAAGGGGTACCCTAAGCAGGAATCGAAAAAATTACTTAGACCTTGTAAATAACGAAACCAAAATACAACCGCAGGCAAACCCGCCACATCCGAGGCCCGGCTGGACCGCCCGGCCCACCTCAAACAAATATCCGGCCTCGACTGAGGCCCCACACCGCAAGGCCTCAAACGAGGTACCGATTCTCCGGCTCGCCCGAGGCCCCACATCGTAAGGCCTCGGACGAGGTACCGATTCTTCGACTCACCCGAGGCCCTGCGCCACGAGGCCTCGGACGAGCACCCAATTACTGACTCGCTCGAGGCCGGCTCGGCATCAACTCCGTCACCGCCGCCTTGACCGACTTCCCTAACGAGACGTCACATCCAACTAACACGTTCAACCACTCCCGCGACGTCAGCCGCACGACGGCACGGTATAGCGGAGTGGCCGACGAGACGGGAGTCACATCAACCCCATGCTATTCGAGACAGATTTAGGCGGGGTTACTGGCACGTGCTTTCTCAGATCGCGCCCATAACACACCCGTGCCACGCCAGGTCTTTAACCCCTACTCAGGCATGGAAAGTCACGTCCGGGTCCCTGTAGCCTCGGAAACGACGTGCGAGGCCAACTGCTCCCTTCGAGCCTTGGCTACCTGCTTCCGGGCTCCTGTAGCCTCAGGACTCGCGCCCGTCGAGACCCCCACGACGGTCCAACCTCTGCATCGAACTAGGCCTCAGCTCTCTACATTGTCAGCGCTCTAGGACTGGCACGTCGCCCGCAGTATGCGCCATGCCCTGCGTTGGGCTACAGGAGCTCCCATGTCATGCACAGGGCCTAGCTCCTGTAGCCTTGGAATCAGCATACCCGCGCCATCGCATCAACCTGGCCTCGGCACTCCACGCTGGTCAAACATACAGTGACCAGCATGCCTCCAACAGAAGAAGGCGCGCCTGCCACCGCAGGAGCTCCCACGTTGCACAGGATCAGGCATGACCGGCGCGTCGCTCCAAAGGCACGGAGGACAAGACCGCTCCACCCACCGACTGTGCAGCTTATTACGGGACAAGTCAGTAGGGTCGGACATGCCGCCTCTACCAAGAACGCCACGTAGCAGATACATGTACCGCCCTGTGCCTCCCTTCGACTATAAAAGGGAGTGACCAAGGCCGCTTCTAAGCGAGAGGAAACCAGGGGCAAGCCATAACATAACACTACATGCGCACACTCCTTCACTGTGAGAGATCAACATCTCAAGCAACCCATACTGCAATTCACAGAGACCTGAGGCTAGCTCCCTCTCTTGCCCAGCTTGTAAGCCCCTACTACAAGCACCTCCGTGCAAGGAATACAAGATCGCTCCCTCAGACTGGACGTAGGGCAACTATTGCCTGAACCAGTATAAACCTTGTGTCTCTTTGCATCATCATCCGGGATTAGGAACACATAGTACACTTTCACTAGTCGGTTAAGGACCCCCCAGTCCAAAACACCGACAGTTGGTGCGCCAGGTAGGGGCTTACTATGTGTCAGCTTAGTCATCCCAACAGATTCCGGATGGCAGACCCCGTGCGACCACTACGTCTCGGCACGATGATCTGGTTCGGGAGCCTAGAGTTTATGTCTCTAGGATATGAGTACGACATGGTACTCCTCCCACCTAGAGCCCCATCAGCCGACGACGACACAACGCACGAGCAGCCCAGGCGCGGAAGGCGCCCGGGCCGCCGCTCTCATCGTGCTC